CATTTTTGTACGGTTGTACTGCCATCAACGCGGCTTATGCAGTAGGCTGGGTATTGTTGGTAGCTTGATTTTTGTATCGACATGAAGTCATAGTACAAGTGGTGACCGATTGTTAAATCTCAAGACCCTTTATATTTCATGCAGGCACTGTTTTTCGGTATATGCGGCGCATCTTAAATCACGATGTCTCCGGATTTAAGGTTTTAGAAAGTTGGTAGCAGATGGTGGCCTATTTTCACTATGGCGGGGTAATGGTGTAAATGTATTGAAGAATGGACCTGAAACCGCCCTGCGCTTCGGATTTCATGGCAAATTGAAAGATCTCCTTTTCCCTGAAGCAAAGGAGTTGCATCCATCACAACGGCTTTTTGTAGCAAGCCTGGCAGGTGCTTGGTCCCTCACTCTCACATATCCTATGGAGGTATGGTTTTACACAGTTATTCTGTTTAAACATATTTTAGTCTTTAAGCTAGTGTTGCTTTTGAGGTACAAGATTCACTTGGAGAACAGATATCTTTTTCTATAGGTCATGAAAACTCGTATGGCCTTGCGTAAAACGGATGATTCGAACTCGATCACCGCCTGTACGAAGGTACTTTATAGTCAAGGTGGTCTGCGTAGTTTCTACCGTGGTTATGCGATTAGCATGCTTAGTTATGTTCCATACGCCGGATTGGAGCTATCATTTTTCGAGGTAAAGTGACACTACCACCCTTTTAGAAGTGTGCGTTCCTCATCAAGGTCAACCCTTTTTTAGCTTTTCAAACGTGGCTATGTGGAATACTTCTATGGTTACCATCCGGGTGATCCTATGCCTCACATCGCGAAGCCAGTAGCAATAAGCCTCATTATCTGCTCTTCCCTCATTCCAATGCTTATAATTTATCCTGCGAACCTGATGCGCACTCGCTTCCAGGCCAACACCAACTTCAGGCCACCCACCATTATCAGTATGTTTCGAAGCATTCTTCAAGCAAACGGTCTATCCGGTCTCTACCGAGGTTTCTTAACCAGTCTGTCCAAAACGCTTCCTTCTGTCACCATCACTTACCTCACGTTCGAGGCTCTGATGGAAGCCATGGGTCTTCCTACTCTTGGCACTAAATAGGCTGTGCTGTCAGATCTACTCTCAGGCATTGACGTACCCGTGGCTCTTTGTTCATTTCATCTGCTCATAGATGACGACTTGGATTTACGTTTCTAAAGTAGATGCATCCATAAATTTCGCAGGTCATTTTGGGAGTTTCATGATCCAATAGCGAACTTATCAGGGATGGTTGTGTTCTAAAGGTGAGCGATAGGGTTTTTTCGTCAAAGAACTTTTGGAATAATTCGGGATTTCATGCCCGTCAAAATGCGACATGAGTTTTTGGACAATTGTGTCACCTCGGGAAAGCGTGTCGCGAGTGGTATAGGTACGGCGTTGCAGGTTCTAAGCTGCCAGCAAGATGTTCGCTCTCAAGAACCGGTGGTGGTATATGTTACCAGATGGTCACAATAAATTGCTACTTCCTGTGTGACTTTAACCAAATTAAAACCTACGTTCACTGAAGCCACCTTCAACGCTCTCAGGACATTCTAGGCCCCTGCCATTCGTGAAATCAACGGACTGCGTGCCACTGTCAGCTAAGTTGTTTTTAGATGAATTTGCCTGCGACCCAGCTGGACCTACGATGATTAAAGTAGTTGTACTTTTGAACTTCCATCAAATGGCAAGACCTAGCCACGGAAGCCGATAAAGCAGGTGAGTTGATGTTTTCCTGACTGCATCCTCTGGATCATAGAGACTGGAGCTGTTCCTTGCTGACTCATCTTTCCTTATAGCTTTGCATAACTCCTGTGTGCCATCGATCTCCCACGTATTATGCAATGTCCTCTTCCACTCAGTATATTTGATGAAGAGTTTAAGGATTGAGGTAAGATGAGCCGCACTACCCGCAATACACCATTGAGGTGAATAGCGATGAGAAAACGACGATATTGTAATGAGTGATAACTGGTAGGATTTAATCTCGCGTAAGGCGTTGAACGTAGGCGGTCTTCCTGTCCAGAGAACCAAAACTCGGGTGTATAAACAGAGAGTTGCAAGAATCAAGTGTAACTTTCCAAGACTTCTCATCGGGCGAAAGAAAGCATTAAGATGAGTCTGAATATATAGTTATTTAAGGAGGCCGGGAAGAGATTGGGCTTTGGCTTGGTTCGAAGGTCAGCCCAAACACGGGGACAAAATACGTAGCGAAGTAATCGGCATACATCAGGTAACCACACGACGAGAAGATTACACTGAACCTCTCTCCTTTCGAGCGTTCTCGACTCTGCTCTCAGTACGTCTCCCGCGTCAGCCGTCATGGCACGTCTGGTGCTATAGGTAAACATGCGCGCCAGTCATTAGCAGTCACGAAATTGAGGGATTGTACGGGGTCTCCTCAGAAGCTTCAACCAGATCTAGAATCACTTTCGGGCCCAGAGCACAGATCATAGAGGGGAATTCCGGTTGGATCTTCGAACAATATTCTGGAAGTGATGTTTAACAAAAGGAAAGGAGTCGAACACAGCTTGAATGGGAATACATCACTGACATCAATGCGCGGAAGTGGTAAGGGGAACTTCGGAGCTGAACTTTTTTAAATGGTTCACGGTATTGTCAATTTACTTCTTGGCAGCTTGGGGTGGAGCTAAAGGAGGACCATTATCGGCCTTCCTGTTGTGAAGGCCATGGAAAATTCTTCATATAGAGTATGTGCGCTCCCTTTGCGTGGCAGAAGTTCATCCCAAACGATGAGCATTAGAGCAAAGGTCGAATTCGCTGTCTGCTACTGTCAGCCTAGTGACTTGCGAAATCCACTGGGTATAAGACGATATTAAGTTGGGCTGACTACATGTATTGAATGAAAAGGAAGTTGGACTTTAGCTCGACTTGAGAGCTAGCCCATGCGCGTAAAGACAAAATTAATGCAAAGGAAACTGCCTATCTCATAGATAGCCACACAAACAAAATACCAACGTAATGCTCAAAAGAAAGAGAGTGAAAGTG